ATTGAAGTAGTTAAACAGTCATAAATGAAGAAACGTAATATTAAGTCTAACTTGTAACAGTTGAGCTTTCTAAACAGGAACAAAGCGTAATGAGTTATGATAACCATATTTAAGTTTAGAACTTTTATATTAGCACTTACTATTTAAACTGCACTCCAGATACTTCAGAGAAGCCACAGAATCAAAATCTATCCACTATGCAGGATAGAATGAAAGCCTAAAAATTCTAGATTTAAAATCCCAGAGAGGAATTAGGAATATATAAACAAAGATAAAGGGCTACTTCAGGACACTAAGTCACCTCAGGAACATGGGAAGCTAATTCACAGGGCTTTTTCCTTTTTTCTTTTAAGACTCAATCAAAGCCTTAAAGTGTGAATGACAGGAAAAGAAAATATCAGGGTTATATTTTTTCTTTTTTGCCTTCAAAGATTTTGTTTTGACGTTTTACAGGATACAAATGAAGAATTTTATTTATTTTACTTCTTTCAAAGAAGTTCTACTAGCAATATTTCAGTGGTCTAAAAAAGTGAGGGAAGAATTAAACATACTCTAGAGTAAATCTGTCCTCAAGAGCTAAGACTTCCAAGGTTTACCACACAACACATGGAAACTTTGGGCACAGCTCAACAAAAACGTACGCTGAATTAAATCGGTGCTGCCATAGTCCCACCCTCTTCCAGAGGGCATAAAACCGGCAGAAAGCAATATACTCTCTTGCTGAGCTAATTTTCTGCTAGTTTAGCATCTTAAGCCAACCTAGCAAAAGGTCAAACAAGCATTAACGTCAATAATAAAAAATAGTAGGACCACCACACTGTCAGTATAGATTGGCATGTTATGCAAAAGCATCTGTGTTTTCAAGTAATCAAAACCTAAAGAGGTAATCATTCCTCTCTACTTCTAACTTAAAACCTATAAGCACTTTGTTTATTTTTAAGTGCACACACTCATATTCCTGTATCTTCATATGGTGCTTATGTCGACAGTAAGATCAGACATTCAGTGATATAACTGAAGGGAACAAGGACTACTGGCATAAAACGTTAAAGTTTTGTGGACCATGGCTATAAACGTTAAGTGGTATTTAATTCAGGCAAAGGCAATTCTTTTAGAGCATGCCAGAAGCACAACATTAGTTCCGTATCCGAAACGGGATGAGTTTAGAGAAGCTCATTTGGGACACAGGCACAAAGCTACGTTTCACTTCTGACTAAGAAATCAGATACTTTCAAACACTTACTACCTCCATCAGAAACATGGAATAGCAAATTATGCCAGAGAGGTGCAATGAGAAGTCCCAAATACTTGTGTCTGAGCCAAACAGAATAAACAGAAGCTCAGGAAAACTCCCACTTTAAAGATAGAGGATTATGACTAAGGAGAAACTAAAATTGTGTAATACCAAGCGAAATAATGATTTTCATGGAAAGAGATGATTGCCTTTTTTGCTTCATCTTTTCCTTTTCAAAATGAAGCAAAAATCAATTTAGTTGAAGGTAATTTCTCATGGGACATAAAAGGAATTAAAGCACTATACCTTCACACAGAACGTAAGCTATATGCATATGTTAATATAATCTGCAAGTACATCAAGGAGGATAAACATGCTCTGTGACGTAAGACAGCGTCTAGTCTGTAAGTATACAATTTCCTTTATGAGCTAGTTATTCTTATGCTATATATGTATTCTTATAAACATTTATATGTACATATGGCCACTGTCAACAGCAAGACATTAACTGAATTCCTGCTCTCGTTTTTAATATACGTTAGTTCAGTTTCAATGTTCACTATAACATCTAAATTCTATAGAATGATTTTGTTAAATAGTACTTAAACTCTTTTATGCTTGCTGAAACTAAAGCACTGGGGGCAGAAGATGACTGGGAGATTAATAGTAGGTTTCCTCTACATCAGCCCAGCGCTTCACTTACCAATCATTTATTTCCACCAATGAAGGACAGTGTGATGTAGCATGATGAAGAAAATAAGTAGTGAAGGAGCACCAAATAATGAAGGAAAAGAATTAGGATAGCAGCTGGGATTTTGTATTATACTGCAAGAGTGCTATTTCTGCAACCTCATTAAGATGTTACTACAGAGCTTTTAGCTTACACTGCTCCAATAAATTACTGTTAGGACTAACCATCTCAGTTAGTACAGAAATGTTATGGTCTTAACGGACGTTAGCTGTGAATGCCTAATGATAAGTCTTTCAAATCTTTTATTTTACTCTTGCAAACACATGCTTATTTCTAACACAACGTAGTATGGAAAAAGTACAGTATGTATCATCCATACAGCACATATCCTGACTCTGCTGCATTCTTGAGAACGTGAATCAGAAAATAGTAGTCAGCCAACCTCTAGTTTAAAACTCTTTCCAGACACTTTCAAAGTAACTGTTTTATCATTGTCTAAACACTTTAAACTTGGCCAGGAGAGGAGAGTGTGGGGAAAAAAGGATGAGGGGAAAAGACTACACTTAGTATGTTTATGATATACTGCAGCAAATCAAACCTGGCCCTAGATTCTTTGTGTATGTCACCAAATCCTCCATAGTCTCTACTACTTCCGCCACAGTCAGATATTCCAAAATTCCTTTGCAGACACGGATGATTTTACGGACCTAAAAAAGGAACATTCCATCATTTATTAGATGAAGCTCAATTATACCTGAATTAGAAATGCAAATCTATCATTAGAACAGAATAGGTACAGCATTTGCTCACATGATGTATAGGCAATCAAACAGGTTGCGGATGCTGATTAGGCAACCCACAATTCAATTACTTAAGAATGCCGTATTAACAAAGGCAAAATTTAATCAGCATTCTACTACTCATCACAAATGCAAAAGCCTCCTTTAGGTATTTTCACCTTGCATGGTAATTGAAGGCTAGCAAGGGAAAGAAATAAAGAAGTGCATTTAAGTATGCTGGCATGCCTGATTTGAAATTTTTCATTGCAATTTCACCAATAAAAAACACATGTAAGTTAAATCACAAAGCAAAATGACAAGGAAAGCAGACTCAAAACTTTCATAGAAAATATTATCCACTAGGTAGCTGTACATATGCAAAAAGTATTATCCAGCATTCCAGTTGGAAAGGTAGATCCCACACCATATGCCTTCCAGAAAAATCTGTCTATGAAGAAACGTACTTTATTTACCTCTGGACTTCTGCCTCAGCTGTTGACCACTTTTTTAGTTCATGCTTAAAGCCACAATACAGTTCTGATGGTTAACCTGTTTTTTCTTACTTCCTGAACTACGTTTCCAACAGCAACACATACAATTCTCTTGAAGAATGACTTGGTTAACATTTAATTTGCATCAACCACATGCAGTGCTCAGCCTTCATAAAAATGGATCATAATTTCCCCTAAAACTCACTTCAGTTTTGTCCTAATGTTAGTTTATCTTGAAATACAGTAAGAGTAGAGAGAAACATGCCAAGTTTCCTATCTGCAAAAAGTCAGTCATTCCAGAGTAATATTTTTCTTTTAACATGCAGTTGTCAAACGAGTTCAAGGAAGCATTAACTCCATAAAAGTCAAGGCCTTTCCTAAACACTGAAAGCAGGAAGATTAAACACGATCAAGCTTACTTTCCTTGCAATTGTGTCCTATAACACTTGGCAGCATCAATTAAAAACATTTAAAATAACATGTAAACATTAGTGCCACAGAGAAGTCCCATAGCATTATCCTCATTTCAGAGGAATATAATAGCATCATGATCTGATTAAATGAGAGACAAGGATGCTGCATCAGACTACTCAGAACAGCAGGAAAAGGAATGTAATAATTGCAGAGATGAACAGATTGTTGCACAGGTAAAATTTAGAATTATCATCAGCAGTTCTAGTATTGCTAGCTTCATTCCCTCTTAAGGGCATCGTATTTGCTGTTAAGAAAAGCCTAAGACCTCACACTCCCAGTAAGACGATCACAAGAGTAAAAAGATTTCCAACATACAGGCAGATTTTCAAGTACCAAACACTCAACGCCACCTTTTTAAGTTTTGTGTGTTTCGCTTTTTTTCATTGGAGGTGCTAGGAACAGCACCTCTGAGCCGTTTCTTTGGCTTTTGCAGTAGCCAAAATGCAACAACTATCAGGTTTATCAGAAGATATCCTCTAGCTGATCAGCTAACAGTCTAAACTTGGATTACCCCCCTACCAGGCCAATTGAATTGCCACAGCTAACAGGGTCAAGCAAAGATAGCCAGAGAGGTTAGGAAACGGCCTAGGGCTTTTCAGGGAAGAGATACGGAGAATTTAAGGGTCAGTTCCGGGTACAGTGAAGGGAAGACAGAAAAAGGGCAGAAAAATGTAAACCAGCATTGATGGAATCTGGCCCTTTCAAGGAACAATGACAAACACAAACAAAACCATTGTGTCATACAAAGATACTCCCCAAATACAGCAAGACAAAGCTTCTTCTGACAGACAGAAATGCAAAATACGCTTCCAATGAAAAACACATTTAGCTCTACTCAGTAGTTTACACTGGCTAATACAGTTAGGTGGACACTGCAGTTGTCACAATAATATTGTGACCTAGTCACTCACGGTGGGACGCCTACCTCAGCTTCATCGAATGTCAGAAGCAAGTCTGACGTTCCAGAAAGGATGCCTCTTGATCCATCAATGAGATAGTCACGAGCTGGTACAGAATAAGGATCTGCTTGCAGCATCTGGGCTGCCCGAACAAGTTTGGTGCAGGCATTCTCCACTCTGTGGGGAAAGTCATCAGACAAAAACGTGCTGATTACTTCTGTCCGTAAGGGAGACTTGAGAAAATGGTGAAAGATTTGTTTTCAACCTCACTACTTGAAATGCTGCAAGCAAACTGATCATTCTCTACCTTTATAGCCTAATAAGCAAAGATATTTATGTTAACAAGAAAATAGAAGCACATGTATGACATGTTTTTTCTGAAGTCAGGAAATTTTCCAATTTAGGGAATGTCTTAAGTAGCCCATATACAGCAGGCAATACAGAATGTTGTTAAGGAGAGGTCCCAAACGCTGACTTGGCAAAACATCTCTTATTCGGCATGATCAGGGTAAGGGAAGGTACAATTATTGTTTTAGGGTTTCCAAATCAAGGTAATTGCTAACCTTTATCATCCTTACATTTGCATTAGTATTCAAGAGGCAATTGCAATTCATAAACACTACGTTATTGCTATACATTAAGAGAAAAGAACATCGTATTAAAAAAAAAATCAAGATTCTCAGGACTCTATTCTTTACCTGATGGAGCTACACTCCAGCTTTTAAGTCTATTAGCACTCATTACAGAAATAGCATTATAAGCAGCCACAAAATTTAGTGATAAGGTATGAATTTCAAATACAGGCTGAAATTCCATATTTAAGAACAAGAAGGAGGATTTACAAGTTTATAACGTGCAATTACAATAATACAGAAGGTACTACAAGAAGGAAGGGAACTCTAAAGTCAAGTTATTTCTATCAAGCCATTTCACATGGCAATTAATTAAAAATAAAAATCAAGAACTGAAGCATTAAAAAGCTTTGGGTTTGGTTTGCTTACTTTATCATTTCACAACAGTTTAGAGAAGAACAAAATTCAAATTTTGCTTCCATGGTGGCTGTGCTAATCATGGCTGTAGTTATCGACTATGCTATGACTTCCCTCCATTCTCTCCCCTTGTTTAAGGGGAAATGTAAATATAGTCCCAAACACAGATTCTACGCACTTACAAATGCCATATGCCTATTCAAGTTGCAGCAAGTTCCAGTAAACATCAAACCTCTTTATTTTAGCAATACTATCTCTCATCATAACTTTTTTCATGCTTGTCAAGCTCATTTTCTACTTATCATTTAGACATATTCTTTTATCACAGACTTTCAGTTAAATCATATTGGAAATTTGCAGTTTTTTCGTCTTCCCTCTTATGCTCTTCTCAGACAAACGGCTGAACATAAGGCTTAATCTTACCACTAACTACAATAAGAAATAAGACATCCACTACAGGAGAAGATACTTTTTTTCAGAAAGTAAGTTTTTCAGCTAACGGCTCCCCAGATAAACAGCTCCCTGGTCATAATCTATTCTTCAGTGAGACATCTGGTCAGCATATTAGGTGGTAACTCATAACTCAGTAAAAAAATACAAGACTTTAAGGCAGAGAGTGGGAATGGTCTGCTCATTAGTATGCAATGAACTTAGCTGTATAATCAAAGTCAACTAACTTCACTGAAGTAGATTTCTCCACTTCAAGTTTATTTTTAACAACTCTGCTAAGAAAGAGATTAAACAAATCACCTATTCACCCAGCCAGAGCCCAGACTCAGAAATACTTCCTTTCCTACAGCTCAATTTCATGGTCAACTGTTTAATAGTAACGACCATCTCAAGGATGGCTTTTCCATTTGTGAACAAATGAATTTACGTAAGTGTGCATTAACCCCAAAAGTCCCCACAGTTTAGCATCACAATAAAGTTTCAAAAGATATAAAGACTTCTTTTCCAGGTTTTAAAACTGAATCTTTAAAATTAAATTTTGTCTTTTACTTGTACAATGAATTTTTTTGTATAAACTTCCCAGTATATTTGAAAGACTTCAGGAACACGCGCTTCTACGTACAAGAAAGGAGGGTACAGGGGAAGGGAGCTGGTGTTTTAAAACTGATCCCCCTCTCAAGCAAACTCATTAGGAAACAAAGGATTAAAGGGAGGAGGGGAGGATTTTAAGTTAAAAGATACATGTCAGTATACTCATTGCAATGAATTGCTTGTTCTCTCACAAAAATCAAACATACTAAAGTTCTCAATAGCAGTTCATTGCTCAGGTGAATTTGCCACTAAAAACTTAATTAAATCACTGCTGAGATAAGACGTCTTTGCCACTTCATGCTTTTACGTTGGATAATCTGCATTCTTTATATATCAAAACCACACCCACAGAAGCACACAACAGAACTGATACAGAAAACTTTGGATAGGAAGGTACTTTATGTATGTATTTTGATATAAGATTTTAAAAAGGCTTAAATTTTAAACAAAGGGAAAAAAATTAACCACAGAGCTACAATAATTAATGCTAATGACAATTTTTTTGTGGAATACTCCACCCTACCACTCCTATTCTTTGTTACATTCAAATCTTGCCAGCACAAATCATATCTGGTTTGCAAAGGGGAGGGGGGGATGCTCGATTATTTATCGGAGGAAAGCTGAAATTCTTCCAGTGCCCCCCTCAAAAATCACAGAATACCAATTCACAACAAAGTCTGCACATGTTGTAATGTAATGCAAGTTACATACTAACCATATATGAGTAAAACTTCTAACTGCCTTTAAAAATCAGGATATTGGCTTATGAACAACATCACAGTCCAAGGGCCAAACAGAAAATAGTTGAAAAACCTGTCAGACATTTAAACAAATTTGTACTGTAACATCAGACACCATATTTATAGAACAAGTTCAATAAGGAATTTATATTTAGACACTCTTCGACATTATCAGATCATAACATAGTTGCAATGTAATTGGATCTGTATATATGAGTGTCTGCATGCTTTCCAAAGCATTAAAGCTTATTCTTAACGTAAAATTTTTCATAAAAACTCAGTTGCTAAAATATCTGCAGTGTGAAAACATCATCTTTCATTTTTGTGTTCTACTTCATTTTAATAGTATTTTGTATTGGATTTTATTATATTCAAAGTGGCAGGTCGATCATTCTGTTGGATTTACTGAAAAGCTGTTTCAAATTTGGTAATTCTAATGCAATATCCATTGAAAAAAAGTTAAAGTGTTATTTTTTTTTTTTTTTAAAAGATTACAGCAGCCAAAATCACACCAAATACATTTGCAGTTTATAGGAATTGGCATTTCTACAAGAGAAAACATACAGTTATCCAGCACATCTAATCAGTAGATGGGTAATTTTACAGTAAGATAGCAAGTGATGCCAGGTTATCAATTAGCTTCCAGTGGCATTCAAATGATATAAACTGAGAAAAAACTCCATACTGAACAACCATTTAATCCTAGAATCCACTAGCGCAACCTGAGAAATGAAGATTTTTTCTTGCTAAGAAATTTTTAATTCATTCCAAAATATTTATCGAAACAAGCAACATTGAAGTAGTGCCTTCTAGGCCTTTTCCAGTATTTCTGATAACATGAGGGGAAAAATGCAGATGTCCAATGAATTCTTATTACTTGCTTATTTCCTAAAAATGTAATTGATATTCTGCTAGTAACCTGAAGTGCATGAAGCAATTTAAAAAAAAAGTAGCACCTCCTTCGAGAGCCAAAGTAATCTGTAAATATCCAAATCTCTATGTTATATCACAACTTAAAAAGATACTATTATAAAAGAACCTATATTTTTATTTTGGAGGAGAATTACAATAAATCTATGTTAACACCAGCCAAATTCTATGTAGAGAAGACACACAGGTCATGATCTTTCCAACCATAACAATTTCCAAAAGTCAGCTTCATTCCTGTTAGTGACTTCTTTATGAAGTATGATGAAAAGCTGCAGTTTATGCTAAACTCCCATTTTATTTTTTAGGATTTAGGATTGATCTCTGCTATTCCCAAACACAGGTGGCTGTTCTAAAATACAAGACTGTGCCTTTAATACCCGAGTAGCACTTTTTTCAATTTCTAATCGCTCAGGTTGTAGTCAGTTTACTCATTACAGTTTAGATTACTTAAAGCTGCAGAAATATAATTTTAAAAGTAAATACTCTACAGTAACATAACTTTGTTAATACAGTTGACCAGCAATGCTGCTCCAGCTTGGCTACAAAAATAGTGTTAAAAATTTGTCTGCACACAAACTCATTTAATAAATAAAACCATAATGCTATTTCTATTATTTCACATGCAAACAACTCAGATGTTACCCTATTCTTTGCACAGAGATTACAGGTTTTTTCTTCATTACAATAGAATTATAAAAAGTAATATGAACACACAGCAGAACCATCTGATTTAAATTCTGTACACTATTCATGCTCCCTGGGGACCAAGACAATTAAGATACAGAACACAGCATGTTTTAACTGTAGGTCAATGCTTCCAAAATGGTTTATGTCAGCAGCAAGTGAAGGGTTGCATGCTAGCCTCCCCATGGCTAAGAAAATTTTGCTGGTTGTAATCACACTCCTACTGGAAAACTTTACAACTAGTACCATCAAATATTCATTATATACCTTCAATGTCAGTCTCAGGCAAATAAAAAAAAACAGTCTTTAAGAAGAACAACATCTCCTCCATTATCCTCCAGGAAATTGGTTCCCTCCAGGTCTTGTGGTCTCCGAGTGGAAAAAACAAGGGCCATGTCTGAACAAGCCCTGGAGAAGCACTTCCTAATTCAATTCTTGAATTAGCAGTTTAGAAATGAACACCCCTCTCCTCAAAAAAGAACTCTCTTCCATTTTGCCTCCTACATCCAAGTCTTGCTCCTTAATGCAGAAGCAGGTAAAGCTCCTTTGGGAGCTCACTCACAGCTGTCACTTGTCCCTACACCAGAGAAGTCAGTGATAGAATGTTCCACCATGTGAACAAAGAACTGTTAGCATGTGCTAGTTCTTCTTCATATAAACTCTCGATTAACTAGAAACAACAAATGCAAAGGGCTATCATTCATAAAGGTCATCCATCATTCATCACTCATATGTTATCCCATGCAGGATATTAGGTAAGTACTGTGTGGAACAGTTTTCATTATTGTGATAGATAGTTCTGCTTCTCATTTTTCATTGTACTACCCTCTAAGCAGTCACAAATTGTTGCAGAAAAGGTTCTTGTACTCAGCCAAAAACGTTACTATTCAGCAGCACCCCACTAAAGAATTCTTTAAGCTTTCATCACATTTCTATAATAATTTGACTACATAAGTCTTCAGAATGTGGTAAATGTTATTAGAGGTTGGTTTTTGTATAGCAATTCAGAAGGCAGTCTCTTTTCCTTAATCCCTTATTCCCCTTAGTGAACAAGAAGCTGGAAATCAACCAAAAACTCTACGCATCCTAGAAAATGAGCACAAACAAAATTACATGTTTATATACAGCTCCCCAAGGAATAAGAAAAAAATTTTAGTTCATTTCAATACACATATACCCCCCTCCAAAAACAGTAACCAAAGTCCCAAAACAGCCCTCCCCCCAAAACAAAAAAAACAACCCTGAAAAACCCAACCAAACGAGATCACACACCAGAAACACAGCTTAAGATATACTGTCCAGATTGTATGAAAGGCCCATTCAGCTTAGTATCCTGTCTCCAAAAGTAGCTGCAAGTGAATGCCTAAGAATGGCTAAGAACAGGACAAGCAGTTATCATACTTCCTCTGAGCGCTCTCCCATCCTCCAACTATTTTCAGCTCATGGGACTTCCTGTGGTTTGTCTATTTGATAACCCTCAATGAATTCCTCTGAGTACTTGCCTGCTATCTTCCAAACTAATACAAAGAATTCTATCAGGACATCACTTATTGTATGAAGCAGCTCTGCCTTTTGTTGTTTTTTTAAACTATTAGCTTAATGTAATGCCACCTTCAAGCTCTTACACTGCAAGAGTGTTGGAAGTTAACCACACTTCCATGCAACTCATGGTTCCTTAGACCTCTGTTGGTCCCCATCTTTCCTCTGGCACCTTTCCCAGGCTGAAGAGTTCCAGCCTACTCAACTTTGCCTTATACAGAAGCCATTCCATACCTTTTACCATTCTCAAAGTCTTTCTATGCCCTTTTCCAGTTCTGCTACATCCTTTCTAAAACTGAGGGACCAGAAGTGCAGGCAGTATTCAAGGTGCAGGAGAATCACATACAGTGACATTACAGTCCTAGTCATTTGCTGATAATCCTAGCTTTTTTGACCACTACCGAGCACGTAATGGATGCTCTCACCGATCTATCAGAGCTCCAAGATCTTCCTCGCTAGTAGTGATGGTCAGTTCAGAGTCAAGCATCCTATCTAAAGCTGAAGTTGCTACTCACCCACATGCCCATCCCTTCAGATCTATAAAAATGATTTCCATCCACACTTGATATCAACTCCCTCAGTTTAATCTTGTCCTCCTGCAACTTCTCTGTCATCCTCACTACCCTGCATCAGACCTCTGCTCACCAAGAAGTTCTTTCACCTCATTGCTCATCCTAGTTTCCAGGGCATTTGTGAATATGGTTAAAATCACAAATCCCAGCACAGATCTCTGTAGAACCCTGCTGATGACCTCCCGCTATTGTCAGAGGCAACCATTTAATGTTTCCTTTCACTTTGAATCTTTTATTTTCCGTGCAAGAACTTTCCTCCTTTCCTTGTGCCTACTTTTTCTTAAAAGTCTGCAGATTTTGCCAAAAACTTTTAGAAATCCACATAGACTGTATCACTTGGATTAGCCTTATCCATCTTTGTGATATTTCTAAGAACATAAGATGTTGGAAAGCCAGGATTTCTCTCTACAAAAACATTGTCAATTCACCCAAAGCAATTTTTATTTACTTGGGTGCCTGTTAATTCCCTTCTCTATTAGAGAATTCCTAGTCATTTGCCTCAAAGATATATCAGACCTCTTGACCTCCTGTTCCCTAGACTCCCCTAAAAAGCATTACCTCCACTTCTGACATACCAGGTAGTCTCAAGTGAGAGGTTACACATCACTAAAAATTCAGCTATTTCATTCATGAACCTTCACTGCTCTTTTGCTAACATCACCTCGTCCTAGTCACTTTTTGTTGTTTTGACAATCTACAATGCAATCAAATAAATTCATATTCACTGCTTCACAGAAATTTCTCTTTGTATGTCACCTCTGTTCTCCATTCTATTATCTTCCTAGTTGCCTCAGGGCTTTCTGGTTTAGAATATCTGCCTCTTCTGTCTTCAGGAATATAGTAAGATATTCATTCATTTTGTACCCATCAGCAGAGAATGCTAATAGAGAAGCCACTACTTTCAGTGGCTTGTAAGATAAAATAATTTCAGGTAAAGTTTTTGATTTGACAATAAGCTTGGCAGTTTCACAATAGGAAAAAAAAATGAGGCATCATTTTAAGACTTAGGGCAGCAGGAGAAAAGTTATTTGTCTTCAATACTGAGCCATGAACTTAAATAAAAATGTCAGTTACTGCTCTTCAAATGTCTTAGATTTCCAAGCAGTGATATCATGTATCAGTTGACTATACTGCCACATGCACACTTCATCAACCAAATTAATAGAAAAGATTTTGTGAAAACACCACACATTAGCTTTGGCATTGCTAGGCATAATACCAGAACATAGATAAGGGCCGTGGTTATTACGAAACATCTTTATTTTTGGAGAAGACAAAGACAACACGTATAGACAGATAGCTACCCACACAAATAAAACGTAACAGGAAAGTCACTATTGGCTGAAAGGTCATTCCTGAAGAAGGTGAGCCTCAAGTCCACAAAGAACTACATATTTTCTAATCTGTACAACAGAAATGAGTAACAATGACCTGTCTTTGGGGCACATCTCCTGTACCTACAATAGAAGATTTGACAATATAAATGAGTTTACTTGATAAACGCGGGTGGCATATCCCTTTTCAAGATCTGGTCTTCTGTTGTCTGCACAGTCTCTTTTCCAACCTGTAGGAGAAAGAAGTCATGCTTAAGATTCAGAATTTCAGTGTAAAGCCTAGATGAAATAAAATAGCAACAAAAATGCATTTGCACCAATGACAGTTCCTTTCAACAAACTATGTTTGTTGTTGCCATATGTAGTTTTAAATCCTTTACATATTTGGGTTAGTCAAATGTTAATGCCTTACAAATCACGTTTTGTCTCCTACCAGCATTGCAACTAAATTATTTGGGGGAGGGAGGAGCTCTTTCTTCTTTCTGCTTTCTTCTTTCTGTTTCAGAAAAAAACAGTGCAACTAAACACAGCAAGCAAACAAGAAAAAAATCACAATGAACTCTAAGCTTCTCTCCCAACTCCCCCCAAAAGTCAAAAATCAAATTCAAAGTTAAAAAAATTATCTCCATTTGCCTTTCAATCTATCTAGTCTATTAGAAAAATGTAGGTCATTACTGACAATACTCCCACATCCACATTCACACCCTCCTTAGGAAAAAATAATTATATAAAAGTTAATAAAGAAAGAGAATAAGATCTGGATTTTTCTATACACCAGCCCTTGTGTTACACAATACAAGTCTTTATAATCACTAGCTGACTCTCTCGACTGTGAGATCACCAACTTGACAAAATATTTCCAGCTCCTTTGTCCACTGTATTTTCCAGCTGAATAAGCCATTCAAAAAGGCATTACAAAGCAGAAGGTCTTTAACCCAGACACTAGCCTGTTTTAAGAGCTGCCAGGCCTGCTCAAGCTAGACAAGATAGCACTGAAAAACTCTGATCAGCTGCTCTTTAAAGATTTGCTGTCCTTTGACAGAAGTTGCAGTGTGCCAATATGCACAGTACTCAAAAGTTCTAATGCCGTACAGGACTCCAGAAACACCATTTCCTTTCAAACTCATTCCACTTGCCAAAAATCGATGTTGCTACTTTGGTCCTTTCCAGGGGGGCTTTAGAGAATTACACTGGCCCTAATAGTTCATTTGGGTCATGCACACAACAGGCTCGTCTACGTTTAACTTAAAAAAGCAAACAAAAAAAAAGACACCAAACTTACCAGTGCTACACTTGCAAGTATTCATGCATGTATTTACTAGCAACAGAGGAAAGAGCAAAGATGTTAAAGGTCTTCAGTTTTACCATGATTTTCTACCTCTTCTAGTTATTGTAACTCACAGTACCAGCACCACCGCCAGCTAGTGCACAGCACTACAGTATTGCCATGACTCCTTTACCTCCAAGGTCTTGAGCAGGGGAGGGGGGGGCACATGGGGGAGCAGGGAAATGCCTCAGCAGCACAGTTACAAGTGTATCATGCTCCTTTTTCTTCTTGGGGCAGGGTTATGTGACCTTCCACTGACAGCTTGCCTGCTTTGTTCTAACTATTTCCACTCCAGGTCATGAAACTATTCCTCCCTCCCCGCCTTGCATGTGTGTGCACATGCATGTAAAAAACATAACAGAACAGGAGTAATTCTCATTAAGCCTACGTAATGTGGATTACAGGGAACACATTCAGATGAAGATAGAAGGCTATCACCAGGTGAAAACCAAGAGTAATATTTTATTTCAAAAAGCCACTGGGTAAAATTCCATTTCCTTCAAGATTTCTTTCTTTCTCAGCTGTACCAATCTGCATATAGATCAATTTGTTAAAAAAAAGAAAAAAAGAGCACACCCTGAGGATATGCAGCTTTTAAAGAATGCATAAAAAATTAAATTTACAACAAAAGAACTTTAATTCAAAGCTCCCCCTAACAATCAGTATTCAGCTTGCTTTTTTTAAATATTGAATAGTCAACCAGGAACAACTCTGAAACAACTTTTTCACGTGCTACAATAAACTTCATGGAAACTACTGCCAATTCTACTAACAAAAGTGTTTCTTCTGTCTGGAAAGCAAAGTCTCTTCTTAAACTTTTCTAAAAATAAAGTATACCTAGGTTCAACTCATAAGATGCAACATTTAGCCCACAAACCTGATACAGCTGTCTTCACCCACACTGCAACTAGATAGCATAAATTTAGGTGAAATTTTTTCAGTAGACCACAAGTCTTCTGGAAAGACTTCTCAAAGTAAACCTTTTTAAACCTTTCAGTGGCAGCTGAGTTAATTTCTATACGTTAACTTTGTAAACAAACCAACCTGAATCTTTGAGGTTAAATGAGGTACCTCATTTATATAAGCAATCACCATATTTTAATGTGTAGCTGGTATCAAAGAACAGGCAGGATATACAAAATGAAACAGACCTTGACACGGATAGCTCAAACTCTGTCACTCACAAGACCTCTTTGGAGCAAACATCCAACAGCTCCCAGTCATAAGAACTTCTCTGCTATGCCTAGCTAGGCTCTTTAGTCTTCAAATGGAAGTAACAGGTAGGATACGAGACAACTTCCATTTTTGTTTTTTGTAGGGAGTTTCAGCCTCAGTAAGTCCATGAAACATAGATCTAATTTTTGCCCTAAACTCTAAATTTTAGACAGCCCATTTCTCTCCCAAGCTCACCACAAATTAGAAACACTCATTCCTCAAATATCCTCAGCACCATAGAGCACACAGAAAAGATAATAGCTTTCAGGCAGTTCCCATCAGGCCTATTAAAAAGGTCCCCTACCCTTCTAGAAAAAGGACTTCTACCATATTTTGGACTGCAACACTCCACATACCACTCACTGAATCTCTGCAGTTTAAACAAATCCCTGTGTTTCATAAGGGGAGCATTTCATATTTGCATAGCTATTAACCTTTAGAAGTTGCGGTCTTTGCACTTGTAACCAAGGTATGGAGATGGCATGTAAAGAGCCAACCTACTCCATATACCGTTTAACGGACCAAGTCTCAAAACAAAGTCACGCTGATGACTTTTTAAACATACACAACCCCCAGAAGAGGTAGCGTAGGTTTTCCCTTTTAACTTTGTGGTGAGGGGAATTGTTATTTGTTTTAGTAAGATCTGGTTTCTTCATACTGAATTTTATGTCAACTAAGTTATTCTCAGACACACTGCAGAGCAACACAACGTAAACATTCACTCAGTTACACTTTTTCTGTGCTCAAATACTATGGGAATCAAGGAAGTTTTTTGTTGGTTTATTTTAAAGATCTCTTTACCTATTTCAGACAGAAGGCTTGTACAGCTTGATGTTAACACAAAGCAATTATCTAAGGAACCTAAATTTTATTTCTATCCAAGAGGATAAATGTAGGGGGGGAAAAAACACAATATTCCCACTGGAGTTTCAGATATCCTTACCCTCTAAGCTTCCCTAGCTAAGTGGGAAGCAACAGCTTCCAAAGAATCTAAGCTTCTATAGCTTAGAATTATTTTCAATAATATTGAAGTAGTCACTACTCATACTTCCAGAGAAACTTTCCATTGCTTAACAGAGTAAAGAGACATTAACTTCGTGAACACTGTACCTGCCTAGAGCAGTGAAAGAGGAACGGACATTATCACAGAAAGCTTACCAAGGTAGTTTCACTGTTGGGACTTCTACTCATCAGTACTCATTTCGATACTCTTTAGGTAAAGTGGCAGCTTATATTAGAAACAAAACAGTTGAATTCAAATAAAGGGAGAACAAGCACTACTCAGCGATGACGAACAAAGAATCAATATGTCTAGAAATGGGAACGAAAGGGGATGCCCACAAGTCAAAGGGCAAATGTGAACAGTGAAGAGGCTTCTAGGAATGCTACTAGAAGGACCAGGGGAGACTGAAATTTCCTGCTGCTTCTGTCCTTTAACCTTTTTCAGAGGTCTCTCATGCCACTGACTAGAAGATGAGTATGTTTTAAGCTTCCTTCTGGGGAATATTTTCCATCATGTAAAAACCAAGAGAAAACCACTCCGCTTAGGCTGAGTTTTTTCTCCTTATAACCAATTTTGCAGCTTTTTTGCCATATCTGTTTCTGCTGTAGTAGAGATGGGACAAAGGTACCCCACAAGGCCCTTTTTCCATCTTCTTAGCTTGCCAGATAAAGCTAAGAACAGCTGATCAGTGAGGATGGGAAGAATTCCAGCTTCTATAATTCTTTTAGACTTTGTTTAAATAAACACACCACAAACATCAAGTAATTCTAGTTCTCCTACTTGTACGAAACAGTTTGGAAGCACAAACTGAATGCATCATACAGAATTAAAAAACAAAACACACAAATATCAAGATGAGAGCCCAAAGTTTATTAGCATTTGTTATATCGAAGTTTTTCTTCTGAATTCGTATATTGAAGACCTGTAGGAAATGAAATCCTCCTTGCAGCTTATATGATTTCCCCCTCCTTATTTTTTTTTTTTTTAAAAAAGAAACTATTTTCTACAGCATTCCAAAAGCCAGTTGAAAACATCTATCCTTTAAGAAGGAGCCTAAGAATACCCCTGTGAATACAGAAGAATACAGTCCTATCGTAACACTAGTGCAGCCCCAGATTTCTCCTAAGAAAAAAGGACATAAGTTCGGCTAGACAAATTCAAAGCACTGCTCAAAGAAAGTGATCTAGTCCATATGTTGGATTTCACTATGAGTCACTGCACATTAAAATCTAGTTGCTGGCTTATGCATTTTCCATGTTTTGCACGCCTCCTGGAAGCATGACATTACAATGCAAGTGTTAAATTTCACATCAGAAATTTGTTTTAAATCAGTGCAGCTCCATGAAGTTCTCTGCAGCTTCTTCCTCAATTCCTTTAGATATTTGTCCTGAAAAAAAAAACACTGAAGTATTTGGTATAATGGAAAACCACTAAGACACACTACAAAATAAAAGTCAGAGTCGCTTTTTTTTGCATTCTAAGAAAAAGCGGCCTAGATTTCAAGACTAGGAACAATCTATCAAGAAACACTAGAAGCAAGCAGATGTTACGCTAAATGTATGCCTACTCCTTGCTGGCATGTCTTACATTCAAGTTGAGATTTAAAAAAATACAACATTAGGCAAAGAATTAAAACTTCATGAAAACATTCTGAATTCAGGTTACAGATTCTGCTCTTGCACATG